GTACATCTATTAACGTGGACTACATTTACTGACTTATATATTGACTTTAGAGTTACCTGAAAATTCTAAATTTTTCTTGTAAAAAATGCTCCTGAGAGTTATACTTTTAAAGTGGGATATTTTTGGACCTTCCAAATCTCAGTTTTTTGAGATAGTCTTTAAGGAAGAACACTGATTTTTTTTTTTTTTTCATTTGTGATTTCTTTCCCTATCAGTGATCCAAAAATCAGATTACTGGGCTGTCAAAATATTCATGTCCAAGTGATTGGGGGATGTGAGGATCAAGAACAGGGTGAATCCTAATCTTGCCACTAGAAACCTGTATCCAAGGTGGCATCACTCCACTTATCATCACTATAAAGGAGGCCTATGCAACCAGTTATAAATCTCACCAAAGTTTTCCATCACAGGCCCCATTCTGACATCTTGTCTACAGGGCTGTCATGAGTTACAGCTCACGCAAATGCCTTTCCTGTTCTGTTACCAAGTAACTTTGTCAAAGAAACAAACGAACTTCATCTGATATGCCTATTTTAAACACAATTTAATTTGCTTTGTTTCAAAACAGGTTGATGCTTTCAGATAAAATTAAAAGTCAAGCCAGTCAAGATTCCAATTACTGATGCCTAATCATGGATCTCGAGGTTCAGAACTCCTGTTCATGGTTGTCTTGACAGGACAGACAACGTAGCAGGTAAAACTTTTCTGGGCCAGAAACATATTCAAGTTTTTGATTTGTTTTAAATGAATGGTTGTCCATGTTTATGTACTATCTGTCTCACTAAATTGAATGTTCTTTGACGCCAATGCCATGCTTTAACCATTTTCCTAAAGTCCATGGTTGGTACTCTATACTTCACATTGGCTCAACATATGCTATTCACTCAAAGTAGGAATAAATAAATGACTTTGGATTATCAGCATTCCCCCTGTCCCACCCCTCAAGATATCAACTCTCTTGGGCTTCAGTGTCCTCTTGTTAGTGCCTCTTTTCTGGATGAAGTTTTGCTTTTCAAGTAAGCAGATAGAGGCAAAAATGTGAGTTTTGGAATAGGTCCACTTATTTGTATATCTTGTTCACATAAGGTACACCTTCAGTTTATTCATTTTCTTTAAACTTTAAAATTACTAAACAAAAATAATAAAAATAAGAATTTTATAATTCCCCTTTTGGTCTGGGCAGTTTTTCCAATAGTTTATTTTGGTTGGTGGCTTTTTTGACATTGTTCTTACATGTCTATGCCATTCACTTATATCTATTATTTGTTAGATACAGCTTTTGTACCAAAATTTTTTAGAATCTGTTTTTAGGAAGAGGTCACCTATTTCAGATCTACTACTTAAGTTTACATTATCATAAATATAGTTGTGAGTTTGTTACCATCCTCAAATTGCTTTGATACTATCTAGCCTTTCCTTCCATATTGGTTAAAACTGAACTTGTTTCTAGGATTTTATGTGTGGAAGTCAGGATATGGAAAGTTGTAAAGTGATTGACAGATGAGGAAGTAAAAATAGTAGTTGTGGACAACTCACTTAAGCTTGGATTATAAGGGCAGGGAAAAGATAAGTCAATATTTTGGGAAGATGGCAGGATTAATGATGACCTTTAAAATATAGATTAGACACAAGCATGTTTAAAGATTAATGGAGGGCTTCCCTGGTGGCGCAGTGGTTGAGAGTCCACCTAACAATGCAGGGGATGCGGGATCGTGCCCTGGTCCGGGAAGATCCCACATGCCGCGGAGCGGCTGGGCCCGTGAGCCATGGCCGCTGAGCCTGCGCGTCCGGAGCCTGTGCTCCGCAACGGGAGAGGCCACGCAGTGAGAGGCCCGTGTACCGCAAAAAAAAAAAAAAAAGATTAATGGAAATATCAGAGATGCTTTGCATCTGGATGCATTACTCAGGGGGGAAAAGCTGTGGTTATTCGGCTGCTAAGTCTTTAAAGGGTGTTATTGCATCCTGTATCTATTGTATGCTCTAGGAAGTAAGCAGAGGTATTTACTGGCCGTGCTGTCTCCGTGTCCCTCAATAAGATTGTCGAACCTGTTTTTGCATCTTTTCATATTGGTGCTTGTAATATATAAGGAAAATGAAAGAAGAAAGAAGAGAGAAAGAGAAACTAAAACCAGATCCCTAAGTCTGCTAGAAGGAATATTTCCTCTGCCAGGACACTCTCCCCAAATTCAACTGTGGCTTTCAAGGAGGCATGGTTCATATATATGTTTTATCTTTTTAAATACTTTATCTTTAAAGTATTTTTAGCTTTATTCAAATGCTTTTCAATGTGTTGCTTCCTTTGACGTTTGGAGTTTCCACATTTATATTGCCTCTGCTATAACACATTTGTAAAAATAGATTATATGTATATTGAATTTGATTCTACATGGTTAGTGGTTATCAATGCAGTCACATTGACTGACTCATAACTGAAGTTCACTTTATTACCCTAGCTTTTCAGATTGTTATATAAGGAAAATATTGTCCCCTTTATAATTATTATTCTCTGTGAATTACTAAGAATTCCTCCCTTTCTGTTTGTCATTCCTGATGGAATTGAGTGAACATTTTCATAGTTCTATTTAGAAAGTTTTCTTCTTCCACACCTCATTTCATTTAAAGGCATCTAGCACAGCTACTCTCAGGTTAACTTACGTTTCTTTGCATTTATGAACTAAACTCTTTAAGAGTTCTAAATATTGGGACATGGTCCAAAATTTCAAATTTGGTTCTTTGACACCATCATCACTCTACCATATTACTTTCCATGCCATCATTTCCTATCTTCTATTTCTATTTTCATTGGTAGAAGAAAGAACATTGACAGTGCTCCCATGTCAGAATTTTCTAGATCAAGATATTAAAATCATGATCACTAGAGATGTTTCCCTAATTTCTTCTGATGTATGAATCAGCAGCATTAAGTGGTAGCCCCTGGGTCTGGTAAGTTTTCATGGTCCTCCCCTCACAACCTGGATGTACATCTTTCAGGACACAAGTAAACATGAGTCCATATCCCTCAACCAAAGCACTAGTGGTACCATGTACCATTTCTTCTGGAAAAAAATATGAATTCCTGAAACCTACTTGTGTCTGTGTTTTCTTCTTATTTTCTCAAGTATTATTTTCAATAAAGACCTTTATTTTTGGTTTCTCCAGGAGCTTTGATTCACCCTCAGTGTAGCTTCTGTATAGCTCCAGAGGTATAGATTTTTGTCTTTGTCTTCCTCATCAGCATTGTAGTCCTTACTATGCTGCTGACACTGGCTTTGTTTATACTCGGTTGTTCTATGGAGTAAAACAAAATTGCTCAGAGCTCAGAAATCCTCTCAGGACTATAATGTGATCTTGAATAGCTATTGCTATTTTCTGACTTGGATGGAGTTGATAAGAACCTAATTGTAATTGATTCCCTTCTCATCTGTTCTGACATAGAGACACACAGTCACTGAAAATGGGTAAAAAGGCTAAGTTTCTAGAAGGTTCTATATTTTTCTAGACTTTAAATTATATCCTGGATACCTTGATTTTGACTATGAATAGTTGTCAAATAAAACAAATTTTATAACAATGTCTTGGCATGTACATTTTATATCCCCCAAGTAATCGCCTTTTCTTTTCTTTCCTTATGCAATAATACTTTTCTTTTTTTATATCCTAAGGGATTCCTATCCTGAGAAAGAGAAACCCAAAGAGGATTTAATTCTCCTGATGGTAACGCTCAATCACACAACTGGCTGCTCATGTGTTATAAACATCGGTTTCCTATGGTTTCTGATGTTTTGTGTGGGTTTCATGCTGTGGAAGTGGGGAAAGATATTTTTGAATAATATCACGGTTGTAAATCTGCAAAAATGAATATTATTCTCAGAAATTCTTGCGGTGCCAGGGCAGGAAACTAAGTCTAGGGGTTGGGACATTACTTGTGAATAATAATTCCTTTATTTCAGAATCCAAAGGGAGTGCTAAGAACTTTGTATCATTCTGTTCATCACTTACTATTAGAGGTAGGAGCTAAATCCTTTTCCCTGTAACTTAACTCTAGTTCTAAATTAAATAGAAGGAGAAGAGCAGAGAAAAAGAAGAGGCAATCATAAATAACCAAGATGATGAAAAGAGATTTCAGAAAAAAAGTAAATATGTAGAAAGACACCAAAGAAAAAAAAGATCAAGTGTATATATCATCATTTTAGAAAATACATCTCACATATTCATTTTGTTTCAGACTCTCCATCTATCCATCTATCTATCTATCCATCCATCTATTAACAAGGTATCTATGTATTTATATATTTACCTAGGGTCATTTCAAACGTACTGATCTATTTTATTCAATTAGTCACCAACAATAATTAATTCTAACACAATCTCTATTGCCAGATTCTTCCCTCTGTCTCTCCACCTACATGTTGTTGAGTTTGTTAGTGGAAAGTTGTGACAGTTTAAAACAAAGAAACCTTGCCTTTTTTTACATTTTATGCCCTTTATAATGCTTTATTTTGACCTAAAAAGAATTCTTTTGGATTTTTTGTAGGCTTCTTAATTTTTTCAACAGAAAAGCTTTTAAATTCACACAGCTAAGCTCTTATACACATCTATGCAGTATACTCAATGGTTTTAAGCTGGTTTTGAAACATGGTCCTAGGACAACTATCTCAGTTCTGCAAATTACTAATACATTGTTTACTCATCAATAAATAAGGATGACAGTAATATCACTTGCCTCAGAGGGTCCTTGTGTCTATCACAGTGTTAACATTACATAAATTCTAGTATTGTTATTAACAGAGAAATCAAAAGGACTGAAAGTTTTACAGTATTCTTCCTTTGAAAGTTTTGTCAAGCTTGATTCAGCTGTATTGGATTAAATACAGCTGATTAAAACAGAAAGTTTGTCAGGTAGGAAAAAAATAAAAATATGAGAAATGGAACGAAAGACAGATGGATGCTAAGAAGTGAGGAAAATGAGTGGCAGTGGAAAGTCAAACATGCATACTTACGGAGCTGCCCAAGTCGAGCTTTTTCTTTTTTACCAAACAAACGACCTATTGAAGACTTGATTCCTTTCTTCTTGGGGGTTTTGTGAAGAGAGTCTTGGCTGCTGTTGGCACTGCCAAGCCCAAGGCTTTCAGCCTCGAGGGAGGCAGTTAAACTACTGTAAAACACGAAAGAGGACAAACTGCTTGCTTTGGTGTAGCATCCACAAGGTACACAAGATTAAATTCCTTGATAAAAGTACGAAAGGAGGAACAAGTACACTTTGAATGTTATTTTCTCCTTTTTTCCCATGTTTTTTCTTAAGCATATTAAAGTGTGATTTCCTCAGGCTTAGGGCCCTGAGCCTCCAGGTTTTCTCTAGAAAAATTTCTTTTTTTCTCAAATATATTTTCCTTATTTTTCATACAATATCAAACTAATCAATGAACATAGGTTGGTTTATTAACTTATAAATTCTATAAATTAGCCCTTGACTCTTTACCTATTTCCTTCTTGCAGAGTTTGATTTTTAGATCTTAAACATAATGACCTATGACAAGAAATTTAAATATAGCTAATAAAGTTTATGCTCTATTCTAGCCCATGGTTTTACTGGATTTTCCTCTAGCTATCTTTCTCTCTCTCAGTTTTGGAGACTAATTCATTGAATTTTAAATCACCTGTGAGATTTTGAAGTAACAAATCATATACCCGAGTGATCACTGTATATTTTTTCTTACAGTTCTCAGGTATTCTTTTAGGTACATGATAAGCTGAAATTATTTCCAAGCAAGCTGATCTAGGTTCCATTCCTGGTCAATGTATCTGACACTGTATTAATAGGGTAGGTTCAATGATACTGTTATCCTTCTTTACAGCTGTTAATTTGACAATATTGTGATGAGTTATATTTAACTTTATTCATCCAAATTAATCTGAGTTCATATTCTCTAAACTCCAAAAGCTACTGCTTTTCATATATTACAATATATTTCACTCTTTTATTTTGAGAGTAAAGTAAGTATAAATTTTGAATCTGGAATAACTTTTTTCACATTAGAAATTAAAAATAAACAAAACAGGAAAAAAAAAGTTGGCTGGCACAGAAAGCTCTGTTTTCAAAACCGTTTATTGTAAAACACATACTATTTAGAAGACAGATTCTTAAAGTATTAATCGTTAAGTCACTACATTCGGTTATAACAGTTAAGTGTTCAGAGATGCTGTAATTGATGACAGTGAAAGAACATACATTTAAGATGTAAATTGCATGCTTAGACTTATTTATGGCATTAATAGAGATCTGCTTCAATTTTTTAGGCAGATGGAAAGGACAGTATGAAGAGTTGCTATGACAAATGGGGTATTTCCCCATGTAAACTTTTCTTTTAATATTTCGGCAAATGTGTTTTTTTTTTTTCTTCTCTAAGGAGGAGCTGTTATAGCTGGCACTTGCAGCACCAATAGGGTGATTTACATACCTGTCTGTTAAAAGTAATCGGGGTACAAGCATGGACTTTTCAGACCTTAATTATCCTTATGCTAGAAGCCAGATTTATAGTCTTGTATTAGAATCCTTTAGTTTTTTGTAACTATTCTAATAAGTCCTTCCTGTAGTCTGACTCCATTTTAATAGGAAATATCCACTAAAAGTAGAAAATCTATTCTCATAAATATTGGCTAGTAACAAGACCATAAATATACAGTTAAATTTAAAACTGAAAATTTGATCTCAGAATGAAAATTTGTTTTTTTCACAAGTGACATTGTGGAGAGGGAGCAGAATTATAGCTTAAATCAAAAATTTTATATAAATTTTTAAGTAGTCTGTTTGATACTGAAAGAAGGAGGAATATTTTTGGAAAGAGAACATACAATGTGCAGTGTGCTGGGAGAGTCATACCTTCGGGCATCATTGTGGTAGGAAGAAGGGAGGGTGTGAGTCATCCTGACGGCTCTAGGGGTAGGGGGAGGAGAAGTTTCACATTTAATTGTTGCTTTATCCTCCCGACCATCTTCTTCTACCACTGCAATCTAGAAGCAAAAACATACGTCAGATGAACTTTTTCTAAATTTCAACTGAAACTGATGAAAATGGAGAATCAATAAAGCAAGGCTATTTGAGTAATTCTAGTATAAAAGCAGAACAAGAAACTTGGGGCATATAGGTATTACATATATAAATTCACATTATTAAAGAGTATGAATTTCATAACTATTTAAAAATTAAGACACTCCAGTTAACACACACACACACAGACACAGAAATAGACTCACTACACAAATATATTATTTAAGAGTAAGTAAACACCATAGATCAATATCCAGGGACTATGAAACAGCTATCTTGGAATCCATTTGAATATATCAGAATGTAAAAGCTTTATAAAAAGTTATTGAACACATATTTGAGCTAATTCATTAAAATATGCATAGTTAGGTTATTATAACATGGACATTTTTAAGTGGGAGATTTTTGAAGTGAGAAGTTGGCAAAATATAACTGTATCAGATAAAGTGTTTTAAATTAGGCTATTTAAATGTGTTCCCAGATGTTTCAAAAAAGAGTTGCAGTTTATAAGAAAAAAGCTTTCTTTTTAAAGTGAGAATAATAAAAGGTAAGAACAGAATTTCTGCAAATTTTTTCATTTCATTACCTCTCATGGGAAAATTGACAAAGGCATACAGAGCACCATAAGCAGATGGGATGGAAGGGATTTCCTTAAAGAATTTAGTTCAGAGTCCAGAACAATTCAGGATACCATAAATTTTGTCAGAGATATATAGAACTGTAAGAGTTTTCAAAAATCAACTTAATTGTACAATAAAGATATTTTTAAAAACAATGCTGCATTTTTTCATAGCACCATTGTGCATTAAAACATATATATATATATATATAGAGAGAGAGAGAGAGAGAGAGAGACAGAGAGAGAGAGACAGAGAGAGAGAGAGAGAGAGAGAGAGAAAGACAGATTGTAGAAAGCATAGCTAAAAGATATACGGTTCTAGAAGTTCTGTTGAAGAAATTTCTCAATATGGCTATAACAAAATGTTTAAAGCTGTGTTCTCATCTTTTGTCTATACCATGTCTTGCTAGTTTCTACATTAAGCTATTATGCATAAGTGTGTTATATATGATAAAGACTATGTGTTGGAGAAACTTAATGAAATTGTTTGTCTGGGCTCTTGTCATTTAAGCCTAGGTTACTTTTAACAGCTTAGGCAGTCATCTTAATAAGATCTCCTCTCTCCATTTCAACGAGCACAGTGCCACCAGAAGAACTGTTTTCAGGAACTGCTTTCAGCATGATGTCAACACTATGGAAAACCCTTTCTAAACTCACATCTCATCTAAACTCATAAAGCATATTTCTAAACTCTTCCTAATACGTACTTAAGTTTTCACAATTCCATTATCTAACCATGATTGTTTTCCACAATTGTTTCTGTGAAGCCTGATTACTTCTGTTTCAGATGTTTTCCTGAAACACACTCATAAAATGCCCTCCTCTCTCCACATGGCAGGTCAAACTAGGCCAACTTTACCAAAATATCAGCTCTTAAAAACATCATACACAAACCATTTCTCTGAATAACACTTAGAACTCACACTATATAAACAAAGTGGAGGAGAAAAGCTTCATAATCAGTGATGGATTTGAATCTTGGTTTCTCTTATTGGTTGAATGACATGTGCTAATTACTTATCTACTCTAAGACTAAATTTCCTCATCAATAAAATAGAAGTGATAATACTTAGTTTAATTTGTCCTTTTGATGTACAAATTAAATCATGCATATAACTCCTTACCCTGATATATATATATATATATATATATATATATATATAAAACAAATTTTAACTTGTGGTTTTCTTTCTTATGACCTACCTTTCTTACCAATCATCTCTTTACTCCCTGAATTCCCTGAGGCTATATTTCTGCATGGGACCTTCCTTTATGATCTTGTTTTCCTTACACACACTGAAATTCTTTTACATCATCTGCTCAGATTTCTTTCTTTATTCCCAGTATAATCCTTTTAAGTGGTGGAAGAAGTCAAAGAAAAATAGTAATAACATTATGCATGGTAAATTTGACAGCTGAGAACTAACTGGTAGTGTACAGGAGACGATGCTAAAAGAAGATAGACAATGGAAAATAAAAAGAAATTCAATCAATCTAAGGCCATGTAAGCATAGTATGGATTCCCTTAATTTTAAAAAAGTTCCCTGGTTCCAGAATTATTTGGGCATAGGCTGACTACCACATCTTGAAGATGCTGAAAATAGATTGATGTACTGGATAGTAGGTTGAACCTTTGAAATTTGTCCCATCTGATATCCTGTGAGTCTGAGCTCTGCCATTCTCAGTCATCTAACAAGTTGTCATTTTGTGAATCAGAACTGTAGTGCATTTTGTTTCCTATACCAATATTTATTCTCTTGACTTCATTCCAAGCAGTAAAGTAGTATATTAATTCTATTTTTATATTTTCTGTATTTGTGATGCTCTAGTATCTGAGACCATGCTGAGAATGCCCATCGCAGGGCTAGCTAATTCCTAGAGATAGGTAACTATGTTCCTGGAGTGTGTCTTCCATATGCAAACAAATCATCTTCATCAGTACCTCAGATCCTCTTCTCTATCTGGCTCTTACATTCCAGGAGGCACTATTCCTCTGCCTTAATCATCCCTGGCCAGGTATCTGACAACTAGAGAGAGCCCCTAGACCCTACAGCCCACTGAAATTGTTCAAACTAGCCAATCTTAAACCTGCTTACCCTGCCTTTCCATTCCTACAAAAACCACAATAAACATTCCTTCCCATGCTTTCCTCTCACTCTTTCTGACTGCTGACCTGGTGCTTCCCATTGACCCGGCATAGTGAAGCAGGTCCCTTGCTCTTGGGAAGTAGAAGCAAGAAGCTATCACTTATTGGCAATTGTTTCTTGATTTGTTGGTCTTATGTATCTGAATAATGGTAAAACCTATATTTTAACACAAGCATCATTGTTGTTCTAGATATCGACAGTAAACTATCTAATTCTACCAAGAGAGATCTAAAAATTCTGTGGGAAATCGGGATATTTTAGTCCCCACAGTCTAATCATTACCCTAGAAAGCATAAACAATTTTATTTTGAGACATTTGCTCTTATGATCATATTTAAACAATTCAAAAACACTTAAATACTTTTAATATTTTTAATAAAATGCTTCAGTTAGAAGAAATATAATTTTAAATCTCAGAAAAAACAATGTTCAGTTAGTAATCAGATCAAAGAAGTGTACAGTACCTTTCTCCGATGTTTCCTTAGATCACTTGGCTGTGATTGGCAGTAATAAAAGCGACATAAAACAGAACCAATTAATGATTACCATTTGACCATGTCACAAGTTAAATAGTATCTATAATTTAACTACCTTTTTTTTGTTTTCATTCCATTCTTTTCAAAATAAATGTCTTTTAACCATTATAAAAGCATTCCTCCAGGGAACTATTTTAGAGAGGAAACTTCCTAGATGGCATGTTGCAGGGGACAGGTCTTCATGATGGGATCATGTGTATATACGTAAAACATGAGACATGAGACATGGACCTTAGGGAATATGAAGCACATATGGAGTGAGCTAGCCAGAAGTAAATATGAGACTATATCCTCCCGAGAAAATATAGATAGGAGTGAAGAAGACTATGTGTAAATGAAGATTCAATGCACATATATGTAGTTTATAAACACTCCCTTTTGTCTCATCTACACAGGGCTTTGGACCTTCTCAGGGCGGATATGCTGTTCCTATGTGATCTCAAACTTCCTGGCGTCCTAACAAACTTTCCATCTCCAAATACCAAAAGCTCTGGCCTCAGTATATCATATTTCTGGGGCTGCAGTTTTCCTGTCAGTGCTCTTTTAGAGAATTTTTAAAAAATAGTTATTTATTTATGATCCTAGATAAAACTTATTCACTTAATATTTGTTAATTTTTCTTATGTAAGTAAAACATTTTACTAAACTATTCCATTATACTTTACATTTTTGTTGCTATTGAAAAATGGGTTGATTTACCTCATTCAAAATTCAAATTAGATATCGCTAACATGTTATTTATGCCTATGGATTTGTGGTGAGGTAAAAGTAAATACAAATAGGCTTTATTATCAGGACAAATAATAATGTTTGCAAAACATATAAACATATACAATATGAATGAATACAATGTCTTTTCAATCTCTGTCCCTAAAATTTCAAATTTTGCTCTGAATATTCAAACATGAATTATATGCAACAAAATTATTTTTTCTCCAATATTTTCTACAGGTAAAAGAAAACCTTCCTGTCTTTCACTATAACAATAACGAATTTGACGACAAAGTTTTGTTAGGTGATAAAGACTTTCTGGGTTTTATTTTTTGTTTTTCTGAGTCAGATATTAAACATTTAAAATATTTTTTTTTACCCTCAGGAAATGCTCTAAATATCTGTGTTTTTTTTGAACTAGGTGTCTCTTATTTATTTATTTATTTATTTGGTTGCACCGTGTCTCTTAGTTGCAGCAGGCAGTCTCCTTAGTTGCAGGAGGCGGGCTCCCTAGTTGTGGCATGTGAACTCTTAGCTGCGGCATGCATGTGGGATCTAGTTCCCTGAGCAGGGATCGAACCCGGGGCCCCCTGCATTGGGAGCGTGGAGTCTTGACCACTGCACCACCAGGGAAGTCCCTCTAAATATCTTTTAAGTACTCTAATTATAGTATAATAATGCTGATTTACCACTGATTTATTTATAACTAACTGCTCAAGAAAATGCATGAAAGCAGTGGCATCCTATTCATACATACATAAACATTATGTCTAAATGGCTATGAATATATTATTTTATTATTATAAAAATAATAACACTGTCAAGGGTTATAATGCTAATATATAATGAAAATATTTAAAAGGGCAAAATACTAGGTTGCAAAAATATAAGGAAATAATAGCAACACAGAAATAACCAAAGTTTTCTTAATTTGAATGCCAACTAAATTATGCTCTGTGGGCCAATATTCTTACCGTAGCTTTGATAATAAATAGGTCATCAATTACATATGGATAAACTAAGCCAGAGACAATATCATTTTTAGTTAATAAAATCAGATGGACAGTTCCTAGATTTCTAAAATAAGCAGATCATAATGTAGATCAGTATATTGGGTTAGTTTATCTTAGTACATTGGCTAAAAGTTTGTGCTGTATCTAGCTGGGATCAGCTCTGATTAGCTGGCCTTTGTTTGGACTTGCCATGGTCTGTGCTATCTACTTTAAAATATCTTTAATATCAAGTCCGGAAATAAGCAAAGAATAGTAAACTCAATGGCCTAAGGAGGTAAGTATTTCCTTTCAAAAATTTTTTTTCATCATTTCTCGTTTATACAGATTTACTTGCAAGTTCCATAATTGTAAAGAGTTTGGATATGGGAAATATTGCCTCACCATATAAACGGTTTTCTGTATCAATTCTTAGTCGCAAAGTTAAAGAAAAAGATATCTAAACTGACAGACATAACAGAAATTTTATGAAGATAAAATTTTAAAACTTATTTACTTATAAGGTAGTTTTCCCCTTGGGGTGACAGTATCATATATATACATACACACATACATATGCACATATGTGTGCATTTATATAAATTAATTCTAATGAAAATAATCTTTACAGGTTTTTTTTTTGCCACAATACACATTGTTGCAACATAGTTATTTAAAGATACCACTTAGAAATTGAGTTAAACTTCTTTGTTCAGATATTATACACACCCATATACACAGAGAGATGCAGGCATTGTGACACTTTTTATAGAAGTTTCACAGCCTTCTGACCAGAAACAGTATATACACTTAATATTCTTCTGTCATATTATTAATTTCTCCTCCATTTGTTACATTTGTGCTAGATTTTTGCAGTATACAAACTATTATTTGACCTATTTGCATTTTACTTAATCTCTATCCCCAAACTTTATATATTTATTTTATTTTTTAATTTTATTTTATTTATTTTTTTTTTTGCGGTACGCGGATCTCTCATTGTTGTGGCCTCTCCCGTTGCGGAGCACAGGCTCTGGACACGCAAGCTCAGCGGCCATGGCTCACGGGCCTAGCTGCTCCGCGGCATGTGGGATCTTCCCGGACCGGGGCATGAACCCGTGTCCCCTGCATCGGCAGGCGGACTCTCAACCACTGTGCCACCAGGGAAGCCCCAAACTTTTATTTTTAATTGGAATTTTATTGTTTTAATAACATAGTTTTAATATTCATTATACAAAACATAGAATTTTACCTCCATAAAGAGTTCAGAATATTTAAATCTTCATTATTGTTGTCATTTCAACATATTCCCAGGTAATCACAGAAAAAAAAAAAAAGAACAGTATATGCTTTTGAGTTAGCAAATCTGAAAAAAAATCCAGCTCCTCTTTACAAGCTGTGTTGAACAAGGACAATTTACCCATACTCTCAACATTTCAGTTACTTTCGCTCGAGATAATAACATTTTCAAATGTTATCACGAGAATCAAGTGGCTAAACATCATGACATTCAGTAGTCATTCCACCTAACATTATTTTTAGCAAGGAGTACTTTGATTTTTTTCTCTCTTATGTTAAGGGTACTTCCTAATTTAGGTTTCCAACTTTTAATCCCAAAAGAAGATACATGGAATAAAGAATTAAAGAATAAAGAAGGGTGAAAATGTTGATATGAATTATAAAACTCAGTTGGGAAACTGCTGCTATTGTTGATGGCTCTTCTTTTAAAATTATATTATGTATATTATAAAATTATAACATTCTATGTTGGTGTATTGAAGTGATTATAATAAATAATTTTTGAAACTTATTGTGTTAAAAATAACCCACCCAGGGCTTCCCTGGTGGCGCAGTGGTTGAGAGTCTGCCTGCCGATTCAGGGGACACGGGTTCGTGCCCTGGTCCGGGAAGATCCCACATGCCGTGGAGCGGCTGGGCCCGTGAGCCATGGCCGCTGAGCCTGCGCGTCCGGAGCCTGTGCTCCGCAACGGGAGAGGCCACAACAGTGAGAGGCCCGTGTACCGCAAAAACAAAACAAAACAAAACAAAAAACCCACCCAGTCTCAATCATCAAGGTATCATCAGTAAAAATGAATTTAATGGTTTAAGTCATTCAGATTTCTGATGTGATATTTAGATTTCTGCTCTTCCATTTACTTATTATGTGACCTTGGGAAAGTTACACCTGTGTAGGCTTCGTTTCCTCACTTCATAGTGGGATTAATATTTGTATCTACCACATAGGTTTGTTGAGAAAAAAAATAAAACACACAGAAAGTCTTTAGACTAGAATAGATTTCAGCTAATGCATCAGTAATTCTAATGGAAGCAAAGGTTCTCTGGACACATCATACCAGTGTCATGACTCCCATCCGATCCATTTCCCTGGCAGGACTTCGAGGGGTGAGCTTTGGTGTTGAGTGTCCACTGGGGGGAGATGAACTGGCCAGCGAAGAAGCTGTAACCGAGGCAGTGATGGAGGTACCTGGGTGGACCCTTGCTAAATTCAGGCCTTCCAGACTCACACTAGCCACTCTATTCTCAATTTCTTCAGCACGTAACTCTGTAGATTCTTTTTCTTCCTGAATTAGTCTGAAAGATACAGTTTATTTTTGATACATTTTATGCTGTTATAATGTTAATCGGAATTCACTAAATAAATAAATAAATAACTTTGTGAACATTTTATATCAAATCTAATATTTTCTTTTTTCCCTAGGCAATATAACTTTCAATAAATTCCAGAGACTTCCTGGCTGAAAATTAGAAAATCTTTCTTTTCAAATGATACATAATTCCTCCCAACTTTCATTTTGACCCCATTTCTATACTACCACCTGTTAAAACTCTTTTAAAACCTTGAGTGCCTAGTTAATTTCTGCCACTAATCCTAATCTTACATTTGTACTCAGGAATGAATATATGAGACTTTTAGAAACCCAAATCTCAACAAAGTCATTGAGTCTTATCTCCTATCCAATGAAAAAGTATAACTGATAGAATTCTCAATAAATGGTCATTCATAATTATAATTTGGCCAAATAAAATCCTGACTTAGCCAAGTTGCCTTTACATAAGCACCAAGCAATTTAATAATGTAGATATGAGAGACAGATAGTGAAAAGTTTTTAAAAAATACTGTTGCTATAAATGCTTTTGAGAAGACAAAACACTACTACTCTTTCTTTAAATAGGGAGAAGTTTCAAGAATATGCATACATTATTTATTACAAAGACACAAAGAATAAAGAACTTTAGCTGGGTTGCTTCAAGATCCTATTTAAGTTGAATCTACACACATTTTGCATATTGATATAATAAAACTGGGTACCAGTATAGTTTGTTTGCAAAATGGAGTTAGAAACCACCTCTCCTGAGATATTTTCCTCTTAACTACAAATGGCTTATTGTGATTTCCTATGATATAACCTTTAACTTCAAGGTTATGATCACTGCAAAGTTTTCTTTTTATGTATTTACTTTGGAAAAGTTTGGCAGTTTCTTACGAAACGTAACATACTTTTACCATATAAGCCAGTAACTGTGTTCCTTCATATTTACCCAAAGGATTTCAAAGCTTATGTCCACACAAAACCCTGCACACAGATGTTTAGAACTTTATCCATAATTGTCCAAACTTGGAAACAACGAAGATATCCTTCAGTAGGTGAATGGATAAATAACTGGTACATATATACAGTGGAACAATATTCAGTGCTAAAATGCAATGAGCTATCAAGCCATGAAAAGACATGGAGGAACAATAAATGCATGTGACAAAATGAAATAAACCAATCTGAAGAGGGTACATATTGTATGATTCCAAATATATGACACTCTGGAAAAGGCAACTATGGAGACAGTAAAAAGATCAGTGTTTTCCGGGGGTTGGGTCGGGGAGAGGGATGAATAGGCAGAGCACAGCGAATTTTGGGGACAGTGAAAATACTATGTCTGTATGATATCATAATGATAGATACACATTATTATACATTTTCCGAACAACTAAGAGTGAACCACAATGTAAACTATGTATTTGAATAATATGATGTGTCAATGTAAGTTCATCAGTTGTAACAAATGTACCACTCTGGTTAAGGATGTTGATAATGGGGGAGGCTATGCATGTGTGGGGCTGGGGGTATATGGGAAACCATTGTACTTTTCCCTTGATTTTGCTGTGAATCTTAAACTTCTCTAAAAAATAAATCAATACAATTACTGAGGCAAATTTACTCTTAATTTTAATTTTTCACTTACACAAAGAATATGAATTCTGTTACTTTGAAGTTTATTTTCATGGTGCATGTTTTTTTAACATCTTTATTGGAGTATAATTGCTTTACAATGTTGTGTTAGTTTCTGCTGTATAACAAAGTGAATTCATGGTGCATTTTAACTTCACCCAAAGATCAGAATCCGAAAGGAAGGTTTAATCAAGTAACACAGTACATTATTAATGTTCAAACACATTCCAATGGAAAAACTGCCTCCTCTTCAAAAAGGAAAAAGAAAAAGAAATTTTGTACTTTCAAATGATTGGTGGTAAATGATTCCAGAAAAACCTTCTGGTGAGAGGCAATATGGTTCTGCTATACAAAAAATTGTAGTTTTAAACTCTAGGTATTCTATTAATTGTAAAGGAGAGTAAAACTTAGAGGAACTAGTTGAGTAAGAGATAGATTGAAGTTTAATCAAACAAAAAATCCAATGCCACCCAGATTTTCAGTTTATTTGGAAAACTCATCAAAGATTTCACCTTTACCTAATTCTTTTATATTGCTCTAATATCATCATTAATCTGTATATTTTTCATATATGTTTCTTACAAAAGCTGTCCTAATTTTATTCCAGGAATTTGTGAAAATGCACATTCTTATTCAGTAGGTGTGAAGCGAGGTCTGAGATACTGCAGTTCTAATAAGCTTTATTGGTGATGCCAATGTTTCTGATCTGATGATCACATTTTTAGAATCAAGGTCTTCTAATCACTTGAGACCATCAGAAATCATTGAACTCACCTGATTTCTTTGTTGATAGCATCCAATTGTTCCTGAAGCATCATGGCTAGGGTCTGGGCATCAGAATGACCACTTGGAGAGAGAAGATCCATTGAGCTAAAAATCGTTTCTCTATCATCATCATCAATGTCAGACATTTCTGTGTCACTTTCAAAAGGGTGGCTGCTTAGCACTCCAATCTGTTGAGTTCTATTCCATTCATGATCCCCAAGAGATTTCACCTAGATGGTAAAGGAACAATTACAGTATTTATCATGCTGCTCATTTTCAAAGCATTATTCTGAAAATAAAAACTAAAAACATACATGTTTTTATAGCTTACTTGACAAAGGTAGAACTGATTATTAATATTTTAATTTATCATTTCAATAAAATAGTTCCTTGGTACTTAAATAATGGTAGGTACTAATTTTCAGCATAAATATCAATATTTTAATAGAAATAAAAATGATAAACTTCTGCATGATTTTTAGTTCAACCCCAATTCAAGGCAGCAATTACTTTAAAGCATCTATGTTTGCAACATTTTAACTTGTTTTCAAATATAACAATCTCTATTCACTTGTACTTCAGCATTTTCATCTCTTATACTAATTAGGCTGAGGGCACGAATATTACCACTCAATAAATTACACAAGAATTCTCTCTCCAACATTCTAAGAAAGTATTAATAAAAATATTGTGCAGAGGTTTAATTTCATCTCCAGTGCTCTGGTCACTTAAATGCCTCACTGATTTCTTTAAACCCAAGGCATACTACAATAATTTACATGACTATGTTTTTAAAATGAATATAATAAATCCTCCATGTGAACAAAAGTCTTGAGTAACCAACAGACCAGTGCTTTTCAAGCTGTGGTCTGAAGGTAGGAGATGGCTGAAAGTAAGAGAGCAGTCCTAGATTTTCTGCTTTTAAAAAAATTGTTTTTCATTTTTGTGATGATGTAAAATGATTTTTGGGGGGACCACAAGATACTGCCCTGAGTAGTTACTTCAGATTTGAGGACCTGAGTAAGTACTTGTGTTACAAATTGTTTTGGTACTAAGTAGCACTAATTTATTTACCACATAAAACTGAGAAAAGAACTGAGATGGATTTATTTATTCTTCGTTTGCTCATTTATTTATTTATCCATTCATTAGATATTGAATACCTACTACAAGGGACTAACTTATACATGACATGTAGTTGCCAGCTAAAAAATCAAAGGATGTCAAGAGCCTTGTATAAATAAGGACAAGTAGGTTATATAGTATTTTGGACACATAAAAGAGGTTGAGGAAAACAAACTATACTTAGGGCACACAGGAACTATATATTACTTCTCTATAAAATGCAACTATATACTTACTCAACATATACAGCCTACAGATTTTAAGTTATTGACTGAATGAAAGACTGGCACTGCAGCTTATAATGAACAGTTTTCTATAAACACTTTCAACAGTCTGTGTACATTTTCCTCAAAGTGTTATTAAAACAGTAATTATTATTAAAATATGTAATTTTAATTAACAATATAAGTGCCATTGCTTAAATGCCCAAGCAAACTAAAAGCCCATTTGTTTGGCAATATGGCATAATAGATAAAAGTGTGGAATTTGAAATCACACGAATACAGGCTCAAGTTTTGTCTCTATCACTTTAATGGCTGTGTAAGTCTGAACACTTAAAATTTCTCAGCTTCAATATCTTCACATCTGAAATTAGTATAAAATAGTACTCAATTTACAATGTTATGTGTATAAATACTTGGGACATACTTGGTTCAACTTTTGGTACGTCGTAGGGGTTACACGTTAGTTATAGTTTTAAAAATATGTTATATATCACACCTGAAATTAATAACAATGAATCCTCTCAGTATTAAAATACTATCCAAAGTGGAAGAGTGCATTTACTTAAACCATCAAAGACTTGAGATAAAAAGTTTAACCTTTGGCTCATCTCTCCTCACACCCATGCGGCCTCTCCTTGGTCTTCTTATTACTTTAGTTGTTCTGTAATCAGACTGGCTGTCCACTAGGGATCCAACAGAATACCGCAGCTCAGCTGAGGTGTCTAGATGAGTTCTGGAAACAAGGAAAACATAAAATATGCTCAATCTCAAAACTTAAACTTTACCAGCAAATCACTATCCACTGCTTAATTGGCAGTAAAGCACAAATCCTCAAAGGAAGAAACAAAAAAACTTCAAGGAAGAAAATAAGTGTTGAAGTGTTGTAACTCTCAGAGGTCTCTTCGGAGGCTTATGTCGGAAACCCCAGTCTCAGCTTCATTCTGAAGGTCAAGTTCATTTTCTCTTTTTAGAATATTAAAAAACCTTTCTGTTTATTAATCATTATTTTCAAAAGCAGTAGTCCAATGGAACATGTTAAGATTGACAACCAAAATCCATTGGCTTACATTCCGACAACTCTTAGTTTGAGCTATTTAGTGGATATCCCAGTACATGCTATTTATCACTGTATTTGTTTTAAATATTCCTCATTAAGCTAAGAGAAAAATGTGTAGACTTTTGGGTCACAAAATTATCCATTTTCCAATGTTTTATTTTTCAATTTAGAAAATCAACAAAATACTTAAAATCAGATTGGCCCAAGGTTAATAATCTTATTTTTTTAATAAAATAGGATATTTCACCAGAAGAGTTTTTCAGCTTTTGATAAGACATTGTTCCAAAAAGATTAAGAAAAATCTTTTAATAAGCACATTTAATTCTGAAATCTGCTTAGAGACGAAACAGTTGGAAAATTCTAACTGGAAAATGTCGTCAGACTGGTTTTCAAAAGACATGATAATAAAGTACACTGTAATCAAAGTGCACTAAAGGTTTCTCCAAATATATTATTTATATAGAGATTTACAGCAAATTCAGTTTACTGCTACGATGATGATGATAATTACAAATGCAACATGCTGTCCTATAAAATGATCCATCATCATTAGGAAATATGCTTAAAGCCGTGTCTTCTCTTGAACCTGGGGCTCCTGCTGATCTACTATGCTTTCACTCTTAGCTCTCTTTGTGAACAAAGACAAACATCCCCAAATATTCGGCAAGATTATAAAAGGTTAGGTGAGGTCTGAAAGAGTAGAAGACACTGACCTAACTGATGCATGTCTTTGTTTTGCCAAATTGGACATTAAAGCAAATGAACTAAAGAATCATCCCCCAAATAGATGACAGCTATTGTTTTTATAGAAGTGAACTTGAGACTTAATCAAGCAAAATGGCTTTATTACAAATTAGTCATATATTAAAAACTAACCAACCAGGCCATAGTCATTAAATGGCACAACTCTCAGTCTTTATTTATAGCAGAGGGTATAAGTTTCATGAAGGCAAAGTTCAGGTTTTAGTCACTATTGTATGCTCAAGGAGGTATTCCTAGAATACAACAAGAACTTAATAAATATCTGGTAAGACAGTGAATGGATGTAACTGATTATAACACAGTCCTAACTGTCTAGGTCAGAACATCCTAGCGACTTTTAGTCTGTGGCTGCTTAGGGTAATGTCTCTGTGGGTATCAGAGTAGAATTTCTAAAATTTTAACACCTCATACTAGGAGTACTGTTTTCTTGTTTTTTTTTTTTTCTTGTTGTTTTATCTCTCAACTCCAAGTCATTTATAAAAACATGAAACAAAACACAGATCTGGTCCCATCAAAGCCCTGCTCAAAACTCTTCAGTGTCTTACAAGGTCCTCTACCTGGGCCCCTCCTACATTCCAGCTTCACTGCTAGTTACTCTCTGCCTTCTCTCTTCGTCTAGCTGTGCTGTCATTTTCCTCAAACTTATACTTTCTTTTGCTTCGAGCCTTTGAACATGCTATTCTTTCTGCCTGAAATTGTCTCTTCAAACATTTATGTGGTTACTATTCTTAAGGTCTCAGCTTAAAAGTCCCATCCTCATATACTATTCTAGCTCCTGGTATTCCCTCTATTATAACAGTCCTCAAATTCATATTCCTGCATTTTCCATCTGGAACATGTATTCTTCACTACCATCACCACTGTATCTCCAATGTCACAGGCTCACAAGTAGAAAGTACTTAATTGATCTTGAGAGAACAAAGACCTGAACCAACAACAATTGTAGAAGAGCCATTGATTATACTTCATCTAAAGCAGTTACCCCTCACCTCTCTCTTTTTATTCAACTCTGTGATCTGTCAGAGGCAGTATATCCATATATCTCAGTTTTAAAATTATTCTTGGTGTACAATATTTTGAGAGGCACTTGCAGATGTAAGTTACAATACAGTCACTGGTTCCTTTAAACAAGGAACCAGCTAGTTTTCCCTCCTGAATCTCCTGTGACTCTTGAATATAATCTCACAAAGGAGCTTCAATAGATAAATCAAGCACGAATTTTCTTAGAGAAAAGCTGTTACCCATTTCTCTGCTTCCTAGGATGTCCTTCATTGTCCTTTCCAATTATCCAGATCCTACCCTTTCCCCTGAGTTGAGCCAAATCAGGCTTTCTCGGCCACTCTGGAACTCATTTTACTTTCTTTTCAGATTCTAGTAGAGGATATTAGTCACTGATACTCACTTTAGCTCAACTCTTCTTACCTCCCCACCTGTAAGATCAAAAACTAGTAGATGAAGTTCTCATGCACTTTCTGTCTTCTTTATTGTTTTTTTTTAATTATGTGCACTCAGAAATATGAATGTTCAAGAAATAATTGCTCTTTAATAAATATTCAGTTACCTCATTATAAATTAGCTGTCTTAATAATTCCTATAATACTTTATATTTGTGAGTTGATTTACTGTTTACAAAACACTTTTCTCACTTGTCTCATTTATCTGCAAAGTAATCTTGTGAGATAGTCATAAAATATTATTTTATAAAAAATATTTTTATATAATTCATGTAAATATACATATATATTTTATAAAAATTATTTTATATAATTATGTAAATATACATATATATATATATATTTGAACTTATTAAGGAAAAATGGGTTTTCCAAAATCAAACTGCTAGTTATTGTATGTTTAAGACCTAGGAATGTCAATTTTCTTATTTTTGGTCTAGTGTTGTTTCTATTACAATCCATTGTATCAAAGAATAGTTGCTCTGTATGTAGTTCCCAAGTTTCCCTGATGATCCTTCATTGTGGATTAATGTCACATTGCTAGGCTGCCAAGATGACTCACTAAGGTGATGAACTTTTAGACAACACTTCTAGAACTCTGTATTTCTGAGACTGAAGGTCAAAAAGACAATGAAATGGCCATTTGGTCTTATTAAAATATGTTTCATTTGTTGACTGAATAATGCTAGTTCTATGTATTTACTCTGTTGGTATTTTATCAGCTCTTTCTTTCTCCTTTACCGTCATCATCATCATCACCATGTATATCACTGAATTAATAGCCTCAGATATATAAACTGTAATAAAACATCAGAAAAATAAACATTATTTTCATAATTAAAGACCTACCTATTTAAAAGTTCCTTGGGTGTATTTATGCCTGCAGAACTGTGTTTCTTATGCTAAACTGAATTCAAAATACTGAATTTTGTTCTTATTAATACTCACATTTACGAGAATGTAAGCACCCTTAGGATTTTTTTTAATTTGGATTTTTCACCTGAATGTCCAAAAAATGCTTTACTAGATATTCATTTATTCAACAATATCTATTGAGAGTATACTATATACAAGGTTTCTTTTTTTAGGTGCTGAGATTATGGTACTCAAAACAGACAAAATATCCAACCTTTGTAGAGCTAACATTCTTAGGATAAGCATAAGACCAAGAAAAATGGACTTTTAGAAGTCTGTGGTGGTCAAAAGTTTCAAATAGCTGATACTGTGTTGTCTATCAAATAAATGCTCAAATGGGTGAATCTCTCTATGGTTTTTTTTATCAACTTTAAATAAAAGGCTCTAAGCACAAAGGAAAATTATACGTGAATTATTGAGCTTGATCTGCCTATCTAGAGAGTAAACAAGGATCTCTTTGCTTTTTTTTTTTTTTTTAAGATTAGGTATTGAGTCAAAGTAGATGAGTACAAACAAGTTTACTTGAAGTTTTTTTTTTTAAACACATTTAATTTCTCCTTCCCTCTTTATTGTAATTAGTTTAACAAAATAGTCAGATACTAAGTGATCATACCGATGATGTTTCTTCAGCAAAATTAAACATTGAAAACATTTCTGCATGTAGAGAAAATGACTCTTCCTGGAAAGAGATGTAATCTCTGTATATATGGTTCCACTTCTTCATTTATAATTTATAATATATATGAAGACATAGCTCTATATATATTTAATACAGAATACAAAAGGTAATAATTTATATTTTTATTGAATATTTAAGGGAAGAATTACTGAATTAGAGAATTATTTTTGAGTGTAGAAACTGTAAATCAGTAAGGGATCAAAATAGGGCAATGCCTGCTGAGAAACAGGAGGTACTTATTTATTTTACTTGAGGAGATATGAAACCATAAGGAAATTCATAATGATTATTGGTGAAAAAGCTTTTTATTTAATGTTACCTTGATATTGTGGGTTCAATTAAAGAGCCAGTTCTCATTTTCAACTGGTCAAGTTCAGATCGCAGCTTTTCAATTTCTTCTGCTAATCTTTCCTAAAAGTCAAAGAGGCGTTACTCAGATGATATGCATATGCCAATAGTACCAACACTCAACTATGATAAACCAAACAACCAAGCTTAATGACTTTTTAAAAATGGAAAAAATGATTAACATATTTTTATTACATATTGTTAGACATGACAGCAAAAAATGCCTGATTTTCTCCTTGAAATGAAAATATGACAGCAGAAATCAATAAAATTTTATCTACATTCCCTAACATTCACTAATGCTAAGTTTTTCTAAATATATGGGAAAACTAAGGTCATGACCAGCTATGTATACATCACTTCAAAATCTGAGTAGAAAGTATAGCAGTTTAAAAAATAAAGAAAAGGTCTTATTTCTACAGTAAGTAAAGGATTTCAACCATCCTATAATGGTCGAAGGACACATGGGTGAAAGAGAAGGAAGATTAAATTAAAAGGATGAGAAAAAAATTATCACTTGATATGAGTTAAAATTATTAGCTTGATATTGGTACAATAATTTATGCATCTGATAATTTTTTCAGATTGGCATTAACAGTTTCAGTCTGCAAAATTATGAAGATGAGGGTGATCTTATAGCCCTTAATTAAATATTCATGTAAGGACTTAATTTTGTTTTTGTAATTATAAATTTTATAACATTATAAATGTGTCCTTCCAGATTTTCTATTGCTGTTATTTTTCCCCCTTCATGTGGCCAATGCTGGACATTTTACTGGACTCATACTTCTTTTCTCACCACAATTTTTTGTCAATGTGGCCTTTGCAATGTTTCTCTTATCTGCTCTTTTTAAAATTCTTTCTACCACCATCCTACATTACACACGTTTTTACCTTTTTCCTGAATTACTTTACCAGCTTCCACGATGTACTGCTACCTTCAATCTCCTTCCCACACATTCCTCTGCTAGATGTATCATTTTATTTTATTTATTTATTTTTTGCAGTACGCGGGCCTCTCACTGTTGTGGCCTCTCCCGTTGCGGAGCACAGGCTCCGGATGCGCAGGCTCAGCGGCCATGGCTCACGGGCCCAGCCGCTCCGCGGCATGTGGGATCTTCCTGGACCGGGGCACGAACCCGCATCCCCTGCATCGGCAGGCGGACTCTCAACCACTGCGCCACCAGGGAATCCCTACAAATTACTTTTAAAGCGTTTGACTTTTACTCTGAGTGAGATAGGAAATGACTGGAGGATTTCTGAGCAGAGAAGTGACCTGATCTTTCTGATGGCTGTGAAATGGACTGATGAATGGGATTAGGAAGTAGAGAAGATAAAAAATTATTATGTTCTTCCAAAAACAGGCAAGAGAATTATGGCTTGGACAACAATAGTGTTAGGAAGAGAATGGCAAGGATATTGGTTGTATTTTGATGATAGAATTAAGAGAATTTGCTCTTGGACTGGCTATGGGGTGTGTGATAAAGAAAGAGGTCAAGAACAGCTCCAAAGTTTTTAGCCTGCGTAGTTAAGAAAAAGAAGTTGTGATTTACTGACAAGACTGCTGCTGGTGGTGAATAGGTTAGGTGGTGGTGGTGTTTGGGGGGTTGGGGGATTACTTGTTAAGACTGAGATGGCCATGTGTCCAAATAGAGATACTGGGTTGACTCTTGAATATATGTACTCCCTCAGGGAAGAGGAAGTATAGTAGGTGATCTAAATTTGCAAATTCTTAATTTACAGATGGTATTTAAATCCATGAACTCACCAGGGACCGAACATAGAGAAGAAATCCAAGGACAGTCCTAGGAACTTCAAATTTTAGAGATCAAAATAATGAAGAGAAACATGAAAAGAAGAGGTTGAGTATATGAAGGATATTTACTAATAATGGACTGTGAGTTAAATATAATCGAGTGAAAATTTGAGGAGTTATAGGAGATGTGGTTAGATGAGGAAATGTGCTCAGCTGTACGGAATGATATTCAGAAATGAGGTATGACCTGGGATTTGCTGCCTCTAGTGATTGACATGAACAGGAATGCAAAGCATGGAATGATTAGTACTGCGGGTTGCCTGGGCAGACTTTTGGAGCTACAGGCTTGGGTAGGAGGTTGGGGAGTGGGTTCTGGGGATCTTGCCAGAAGCACACAGAGCTTTGGATAACATAACATTCCATAACAGGATTAAGTCCCGAATTCACAATCTGTTTACACCCTAGTTCTTTAAACACAACCAGTCACAGCAAACTTCTGGTGATTCAGCAAATCAACCATCTTTGTTTTCTCTGTGCTATTGCATAGTTTTCATCTTCTTCCGTACCATTCTTTATTTGTTAAGATCAAATGTGCCTTCAAGAGCCTGATGAAATGTTATCTTCTTCACTGTAGACTTTCTGAACTACTTTAGAAAGAATTAGATGCTATCTTCTAGGCACCATATTGTATTGCTCTCATACACCTATCTTTCAGGGTTTAAGGGTGTGTACATCCTGACCATGGGACTAAATAGTTATTTTTTAAATTAACATCATAATATGTAGTATTCAATACAGTTAAATGTACAATTGTTCCTTCTTATCTTTATTCTCTCATCTTTTCCAATACCTTCCAAATGACGTACTGTTGCCAGATCTCCTTCCCTTCCCTCCTTCCTTCCCTCCCTTCCTCCCTCTCTTCCTCCCTTCCTTCCTTCCATTACTCCCTCTCTCCCTCCTTTCTCTGTTTCCATTCCTTCCATCTTTTGTTTAATATACATCTATAAGTCACTTCTTAAGTTAGTGATTTTATATTATTTCATTTACTGATGCTGAACAAAATGAAATAAGACAAAATTGCCAACAAGAATTTTACATGTTAAGGAAGGAGGAAAACACATTAGCAATTACAGCTTTTAACATTTTATAATCTGGTCCTTATCTGTCTAGTCTATCACATATCCTACAATAAGAATAACTGATTCCAGCCAAACTGTTATGTCCATTATTATTTAAGATATCAAAGTCACTACTCACCTCCTCCCCACTCTAAGTACTTGCAATCATGGCACAGGCACTGTATTTGAAAGCCTTGCAAAACAGTCTTGTCTTTCCTTAAAGCATTCTGAAGCCTTCTTTATAGCAGCAATGTATATTGATCTCTCCTACCCGTAGTTCTTACTATCTTTCATTCATTTGACACTTGGCATCTGTGACTCTACAACTCATTGCTTTGTGTTTTCTCTCCTCAATTAGACTTTTCAGGTACTTTAGAACTAAGTTCATGTTTGCAAATATAACAGCACAACTTTATGCACAGTAGGTATTTAATACATTTCTGCTAAAATAGTATCTCAAACTAGACACAAATCGGTGCATACATTTTTATCCCATTTATATAAAGCATGAAAAAAGTCAAAACCATTTTTTTTCTGTTAGAAGTCAAGATAGTGATTATCCTTTAGGATAAGAGTAGTGATTATATGCTAAGTGGGGCTTCCAGCATGTTGATTTTCAGTGTGTTTGGTTTGTAAAAATTCATCAAGCTCTCCCTATATACGTACACTTTTCTGTATGTATAATATAAAAGTTAAAATATTTTTAAAATATAACATCCTAAAATTATTTATTATCAAATTTATTTTATAACAAAATATGCACCAATGTGACATAGAAAAGTGGGCAAAATGTAAGCTTCCATAATACCTTGTCATGTAAAGATTCTTCCAGATTCTTTCTGAAAGTTTCTGATTCTTGAATTAAAACGTTCTACAGAAAAGAAAAAAAACACATAAATAATAAATAAAACAGAAAATAATTAAATGTGTAGATTAATTTTTTATCACTCAAGAATCTTCTTTGATTCCTTACTTGGTGCATCTATTTTTTCATTTCCATGGAAACCAAGTTTCAATGGAATCTTTAAACAAGACACCTTAACATTTTTAGAAATACATAATTTAAATAGGAAATGTCACTTTGTAACACTTGGATTGACAAATAAGATAAATATTAAGTTTTAAGCTATTTCTGACTGCCTCTTCCCAGTCTTTTTAGAATTTGAAATAATTAGGTTACTTTTCAAATGAGAAAAAGTGAATAAAAAGCAAAATATTAGCCAAAGCTATCATAGAGAAGAATTCAGATAAACTCATTTTTACTACCCGAAGAAAGAAGAAATTGTAAGATCAGATTCTTTTAAAAGTTCAATTTCTGGATCCTTATTTCAAATACAGAATTAACAATTTCTAATAATGTTTAAATTATTAGATAAATAAAAACAAAATATTAGCTTTTTAAAAAACTAATGTTATATATCATGATGTAGAAATAACTTGCATCATAGATTTGAAAAAAATCCTTGCCATAAAAGTATTACTGTTGTAAAAGCTTTACGCTTTTCTTATAGTATTACAAAGCATGATTTAAAATAATGTATTCTTTTCAAATTTACAGAGTTAAATTAAAACAAGAGTGTGGTTATTGGCATGCATGTGGTGCTGAATGGGAAGAAGGCATGCCTTATGACTTCTTACTGGGTAAATTAATCAAACTACTTTAACATTTCATTGAAACATTTTTCCTATTTTGGTTTATTGTATGGAGCAGGGGAAAATGTCTAGCTTAGGTAGTGATTGGCATTCCATCTAAATTTCCAAAATGATTTCTCCACCTAGGTTTTAGTCCCTACCTTTTTTTATACTCTGGAATTGGCAACCAGCTCACTAGATCTTGCTGGTCAGGTAGTCACCAACTATTAATCGGATATATTAACTGTGAATTAAATTGTAGATTGTACAGAAACACTTTTTTGGAAACAATGCAGCTGAAAGTTTTGCATTTCTAAACTCTGTGGTGGGACTGACACTACTGCTATTGGTGATATAAACTCACTCACATTTTGGCTTTTAGACTAGCAGTAGATTCAGTTACTTGAAACATTTGTGTGGTTCAAAGCAAGCCTCCCCACACACTCCAAAATACTAATTTTTGTCTTACTCTTCGTTTTTGCATACCACATGAAAGACAAATGAAATATTTTCATCACAAAAGTGCACCATGTTTTAATACCTTTGTCTTATATGATCATGCTAATATGTAAGATTTATATACCATGTAACACTTTTTATTCATTTAAAAATTGATCTTACATATTTTTACAGAAACTATTTGTTCACTTTTAAGAATATATCAGGCTTTTTTTAAATTAAGGAAAGTAAATGGATCATCTGAACAATGCAATGATTGTAGCAGAGTGTAAAACAAACATGATCATAAGAACATAGCTGATAATCATGTGATTCTACTGGTCCTTTTACCTTCTCTTCTAGAGCAGCCATTCGTTCCTTTAAGTGTAGCTGTAAGCGTTCATTGGATTCAGTCAGAAGTCTATCCACAGTATCGGATAATCTTTTGTTGTGCTCCTCATTCATTTTCTCTCTTTGCCTAGCCTTACATTCAAAAAATAAATAAATAAATTTAACATAAAAATCACTTTAAAATATTTGGGCTTGTTTTTGTATTTTTTCTAGTTTTAAAACTGGATTTAATTTTATGTCTGTTTTGATTAAATTGGCAGAAACTTTTTTTAATGCACAGGGCATATTCATATGATTTTAAATATAACCTATAATCAAGAAAGACATTCAGTTCTTATATGTAGAATATAAATCCATAAACTGACGCTTGAGAGGGATGGTCTTAAAATACATACTCTTTGAAGTTCTTGATTTTTCTCTTCAAGTTGACCTTCTAGATGCCTCATACGTTCTTCAATGTTTCCATGTCTTTCTTCAGCCTGTTAAGAAGTATGAAGAATGCACCTGACATGTAAGATACGGTTAACACTTTTCCTCTAAATAAACCGAAATAAAATGTAAAGCAAGCTACTACCAACCGCAAATGTAGTTTTCAAAAAATAAACTTTTTTTTAAACAGGCAGCTGAACAGCATTGCTTGAAATGTGTCAGCTACAAAGGCCTGTTACATCCAAGCATCAGCAAAACATCGGAGTTATTTATGAGCAATGAAATCAGCCAAATGTAACATGCAGACTGTGCATGGTTTGAACACAAACCTGCCATTGTCCAATCTTAAGCTCCTGAAGCACTGAACTGCACAGATGGTCGATTATCAATAAATAAAAGTAACATAATTTTTACAAATGAAAAGAAAAACTTAGATGAATTCTATTTAGCAATAGAAAGTAAAGTCCAGTAGGACTACCTTCCTACGTATGGAGATCATTTCTTGTAGTTTAGCTTCCATAACATATTGATAATCATCAGATGAGGTAGAAGAGGTTGGATCAGACTAACGAGTCAAGGAAAAGGAGAGGGACAAAATTGAAAAATCAGAACTAAAGGCACTGACACTGAACAGAACATAGCACAGAATGCTTAAAAGAAAAATGTGACAGCAAATTTAATACTTTAATAGAATTTTATGTGGAAAGAACTACACTGATATCTGGTGAACATGATGAAGTTGATGGTTATAAGTGAAAAATAATGATATGCTCAAATAAAAAGCTACCAACCTAAGGTATGGAAGGTTAGTGATGGCTGGCAATGAAAGACCACTACAGAATGAATTAAAGCAACTCTGAAAGAGTCATGTAATAATTGGAATTATGGGAAACCAAACACTAGAATATGTCTCTGATAGATTGTTAAAAGTTTTATATTTTGGGTTGTTTGTTTATCATATTACTTAAAAATGATGGAAACAAAGTACCTCAATATTGAGGAGTAGGCCAAGCCAATGACTCAGGTGAAATAAATTTGGAACAAAATTTATTATAAACCCAGCTCTGTAGAAATCAGAGAAAAGGCTAAGCCACGGGGTTAATTATTATGAGTATTCTCCAATTCAAGCAGGATTGTTTCCTCAGCAGCACTAGCAAACTTACAAAATGACTTCTGGTCTCTGAATACAAACTATGGCTGTAGGTGTAGAACCTCAGCGCCTATTCTTAGACATAGCCTTAATTCGACATTTTAAATGAAAATGATTAGAAGTCCTCAAATAAAGTGACAATAATGCTGTGAGGACAAGAAAACTTATTGTGAATTCTCCTGAATGATACTAGGGACCACTCTAAAACTGATTCTGCATTGATTTGTTGCTATGGAAACAAAATAGTGCCCTAAAGTGAATAGGCAGCACAGTGCCTTTTGTGAGCTAATGTTTGCCCAGTGCCAAGGTTAGTTACATGTCTTGGAGGTGAATGTCAGGTTACCACAGATGCAGAGTGTTCAACACATGTGACATTGCTGATAGCTGAACTGTATTAGTATGTTATGTACAGATTACATGGAAAGTTACATCAACATTTTAATCATAATTACAAGTTAAATAATCACAACAGCCAAAGTACCCTATGTCAGGATAACAAAATTTAACTCCAGAGCATATTCTATTACATTTTATAAGTTTATTCTAAAACAGTGAAATGTACTTTATGCAAATATAGGACTATATATAAATATATCATTCAGTACCTGAAAAGAAATAGTAACCTATTCATGTATTGGTTCATATGCATATGTACTATTTTACGCAACAAATTCCAACTTAATCTATAAAATAAACATTTAACGGCTGTGCTTATGCAAATAATAACTCAATATTTACATTTTGAAAGATTTTCCTTCTGATATTCTTATTTCATAAATCAGGAAAATAATGAAGAAATAACAAATAACCAATTTCTCTCCTCAACCAGAAGCAACACAGAATGCTACCATAGTCTTCAAATGCCACAAAATGATTTTATAATATTTTTTAAAATTTATAATTCAATTAAGAATATGGTTCAAAATTTTGCTGAAATTATGTATTTTAAATTCTTAAACATATCTGTAATCTCTCAAAAGTACATTTTAACAAGCAGTTAACGTTATGACAATTAATCTGGTGACTGACTCAAGGTAGTCAAGGCATGAACATTTCAATTTCCAAAACTGTTTATTCAAATATACAAGTAAGTCAGTAGATCTTTCAAAGGTCCTTAAAACTTCTAGCTGTTTCCATCTTAACTACTGAAAACACACCAAACATTGTGAAGATTCACTTCAGAGATTAAACGAGAATTCTGTCATGTTTAAATCACTGTTAATGTTGATACTTTTTATTGGTACTAAAAATGAATGAAATACCTTATGGAATTCAAGATGAATTATGTCCTTGCTGAGGAATATGCATTTTAATTAAAGAAGTAAACATCATAAATCATAAGACTGGGATCCCAAAATGTTATTATTTAATTGTATATACACTCACCAAAGCCAAATTTAAAATTTTATCCCTAGCCATTATTCAATACTTCTTACTTTCTAAAAGCCTTAAATGAGCTTTAGCTACCTATTTTTACACACACACACCCCACACTGGCAAAAAAAATGATATTCTTATCAACCAAAGAATAAATTCAGACATCATCTCTAAACAAACACTGGTCAATTTGCAACCACTTGATTTATGTTCACCTTAACCTTATGAAGACTGCAATTTAAGCAACTGGTGTAAATACTATAGTCACATAAGAACAATCTTGTATATTTTGACTCCTTGACGGGATATAGGGCTTATCTTGGTTTCACTCTTTAATGTGACAAGGCAATTTTCAAATGAGCTAAAGTTTTAGAAGAAAACTTTATAGTTTTCTTTTATAGGCAGAAATAGTTTTGAGAAGAATGTGAATATATCTGGAAATGGAGAAGCAATCAAATTTAAAGAGAGGAGGACCAAAGAGAAGAAAACAATAGTGGCAGATAATAAAAGTAGAAAAAATACTTATAGGCCAATTAAAATATATGAGGGATTGTTAACAATATCATTCAAAATATAGGAGAGGGAGACTAAACTAAGCATAAATCATAAATTAGTGAGAAGTCAAAAACATTATGACGTAGAAAAGACTATGGAGATCAATAATAAGACATTGAAAACAAATTGGAATTGAAGTAATGAATAACTAAAACCGGTTTTAGAGACAGTCCCTAAAGGTCTTGAGAACAGAGATAAAAAAATGGTCAAAAATCTTTTTAGCCATAAAGCTTGGGAGAGCAAATGAAAGACTGATCTTCAAATGTTATAAAAGGGTTACAAGCAGAGGGAGTACACTGAAAATAAAATCTCAGCACCAGAGGCGTGTGAATAATGAATTAAATATGGCGATAATCTACAAACTGTATATCTGAAATAATGTTGATACAGAGCCAGTCAGGAGAGAAAGCAGTAAAAAGGACAAGCAGAGTGAATTCTAACATTTTCATACTATTTAAGAGAGGTAAAACTCCTGAAAAGTGAGGAAATCAAAGGGGTCTATTCCTTTTTAATTCCCTTTCTATTCTCTTTTAATTCCAGATGAAGTGGAATTTTAGCAATATATTATCAGGTAGGAGTGAACTGAGGAAATTACTTTGGGTGCATAAGTGAATATATGTATCAAATATGACCTCAATAAAATAAAATAGAGGGAAAAACAGATGAGACACCTATTCTAAGTTGTTTTGTTTTACATTCTAAATTAAGGATTCTTAGGAATTTTTAAAGCCTGATATGTCAAGTATTATATTTTAAATTATGCTTTATTCTCAATCCATCAGAGGTTAATTTGGGGCAATTTTTTGCTGAATTTTAAATTGTGTTTTTGGGGGAGAGATTCCAGACTTTCTTGTAGTTTACTTATGACACTATTGATTATTTTACACTAAAATATTACAAAAGTTACTTTTATTATTTAGCCACTTGCCTAACTCCCCCTAAAATAGTTCAGTTCAATAAGATAATTCTTTATAAAAGTTCTTTATATTCCTCAAATGAAAAGCCTAAGTATACATATCTTAATCCATATTATAGTAATTTTAAATGTGTTTGCAAGAAAAAATAGCATGCTACTACTACTATGTTTGCACTTTTTATATAATTTCAATAATATTTCTAAAATTAAATAAGTTTATATTTATTTTAGAAATCACACATCTCTGAAATTTCCAGAGTGGTTTATGGCATGGTCTGTGACTATGGAAGGATCCAGATTGTATCACCCTAATCAGACTAAAGTTTCATTCAGCTAGTTAGTCCAATACTCTACAACAAACTATACCAATACTTTCTGCTTTGTCAACTGTTTGTCTTTTCACTACCTGTTTAACTACCCTATTTTAACTAATAGGCAACAGTTTACTGTTCCTCTTTAATTATTTACTTTTCCAAAAGTAACTATATGTGTCTACTTTTATTTTGTTGCATCAATTGTTTTGGATAATCCCTAATGCCAGAATTTATAACTTGCAGTTCATATATCTATCTGACCCGTTTACTGCAGTGGTGTGGAAAACAGCACATGGTAATGACTGTGTGAACATCTAAAATGTGTGTAAATTTTTGAATTGATATTAAAAGTTAAACATGCTTTTAGTGACAAAATCTGTACTTTTATTCTAGTGACATGTGACTTTCAAGCAATGCCATTCCATTTGACTGTGAAAGGTAAGAATAGTCATTTTAGCATTATAATGGTTGCTAAGTTCTAAAATATGCATATAATTGCAGAATCTAATGTCCATAACATAGCAGTTAATTTTGAACATTCTTCAGAATATTATTGATTTTAATTGGTTCAGAAGAAATTACAACTATTAAAATCACTTTCTGACTATTTAATGGCTTTAGACTTCTACAAATCTAATGTCTAACTTCTAACAAAATTTTTTCATACCATAGTCAGAAAGGAATCAACTGCTTATGGTATCTCCTACATTTCTAATACTGTACAATTTATGCTAAGCTTACTAAATTATTTTGTCTCATGTATATCCATATGTGCAAATATAACCATGGAAAATTAACTCTAAGGATGTGATATTTTGTTCGTTTTTGTTAATGTTTAAATAGGCAAAGGAATCATCATATCATATGTATCAGTCATTCATTTCAACATAAATATGTGTAACATAAAAATTCATCTAAACAGACCAATAAAGATTAAATAAACTTAATCTTCATAAAGCCTAAAGAAAATCTTCATATATTCCATTTTGATTACTAGTCATTTCTATAAGTATATCTAAGTTGACCAACTGTTTTATTGCAGTACCTTTGTCAGGGCTGCAATTCTCTGAGCCAGTTCAGCCTCTACTTCAGGTAAGGTCTCAGCTTTTCTCATAGTTTGCTGCAACTTTTGCTCAGCTAGCTCAAGACGCTCTTGTAACTGTCTATTCTTCTCTTCCATCTGAAATAGGGACGAAAAAAGAGACACTTAAATTGTCACAGTTAGGATACCAAACACCAGTCACCAGGGGCTGTGGGCTTCAAGCCACTCTTCTAGAGTTAAAATAAGCTACTACTACCATACCTACTGTGCAAAGAGATTATTGTTCTCATGTTTTCATATATTACTTATCCATAATCCTTAATAAATTCAGCACATTAAAAAAAGAAAACCTTTTACTGACGGCAGCAAAAAGAAAAGAAGTTAATAGTGAGTATTAACCTGGACAAATGGAATACAACTTAGTACTAAGACTTCAGATACACCGTAATAGCAACATACTGAAAATCATAACATTAGCTGGAGTAGGAGAGGGAATGTAGCATAATGATTGAGAGTCCAGGCTCTAGAGATGATGTTGGAAGACTTTTCCTGTGAAGGCCAGATGGTAATTATTTTAGGCTTTGTGTATCATAAAGTCTCTGTTCCAACTATTCAATTTTACTGTTGTAGCACAAAAGCAGTCATAGACAATGATTAAATGAATGGGTATGTCTATGTTTCAATAAACCTTTATTTATAAAACAGAGCCATAGTTTTGGCACATGGGCCATAGTTTGCCCACTCCTCTAGAGCCGAATAGACCTAGGTTTCCATTATTGACTCTGCAATTACCATATGTGTGACCTTAGGAGAGGATTCATGTCTCTGAACCTTAGTTTCCTCAGTATAATAATTGTACTTACTTTACTCCTCAGTATAATAACTGTATAATAATTATTACACTTTACAGTATACTAATTGTACTTACAGGTGGTGGTTGGATTTAAGTGAGGTAATACATGTAAACTGTTTAGCACAGTTTCTGGTTCATGTCTAGATACAAAGTAAATATTAGTCATTATTTTTATTATTATTAAGATAGATTTCTAGATTACACAGTGAAAATCACATCTGTTTAGTTAGCTTGGTTATAAATTTTAGAGAATGACTGATTACCAAAGAATACCATATTTTATTTACTCCATGTTTTGTGAGAATGGTGAGAACACACAGACCAGAACAAAACCAAGATAGAGATACTGAACCTGCCGTAGGATGGCCTCTTTATTTGCTAACTCATTTTCTAGTTTGTCATTCATGTCATGTATGGAGGTAGATTCTCTCTGAGCACTGAGGTAACGCTTCTCAAGGGTCGTGATTCTTTCTTCCATATCTTCCTTCTGTGCCATGGCCTACAATTAAAATAATTTTAAAAATCAGATTCTTAGTTTATATATTGTCTTATTATTTAAATTAAATAGTGAGCTATAAAAGAAACTATTGCTTTCTTGAGGTAAATATTCATTCCTTTCTTTTCATTAAGGGGATGCAAGATTTCACGTGAGTTTTCTCAACTTATTTGTCAGAATTCTTCTTCCATCTTGGGTTAGCAAAAAGCTTTCTCTATCTGAGAATGCAATGGAGTACATTTTAAAACTCCTTACTGTAGACTTGGTATTCTTAGAAAAGAAGTGGCAGAAAAATTAGTTCATTACACAGTAGAAATAAGTATAATTATGGGTAGAGTTGCAAACCATAAAATTGGTAAAATGGTGGCTATAGTTCCAAATTGCAAAGGGTTTTTCAAAGAAGGATAATAAATATCATCAGTATCCTTATTGTCATGTATAAGTAAGAATAGCTCAGTGGTTAAAAGAGAAGGCAAAAATGAAAAAAAAAAGTAAATTTGAATCACACTCACAAATGAATTGACAAATTTACTTTGGAACTTAACCATTTCCCTTGTTTAATTGGAATATGATATATTCCAATGAAAAAGAATTTATAGAACTCAATGAACACAAATCTCTAGGGGAAAATCAGTTATTGGTGCAAATGAAGCGATAATTTTAAATACTATATTATTAATATAATATTAACTATTATATTAAGCAATAATTTAAAACCATATAATTCATAGATAACATGGAAATGATTTTATCTTCCTAATAGCTTACATGGGAATTTATTAGTAGGTAGATAACCTACTTTTTTGAGATATTGGGAAAAATCAGCTGCAGAAGTGAGCATCTTGGGCCTGGTGTGGTTTTCTGATAATTTGGGAAGCTCTTTTGCATAAGGAGCCTGACATTGAGGAGATGGTGGTGTTTTCCATTTATTACCATCCAGGTTTCTTTGACCACTTGTTCCTAAGCAGTCTCTTTGTTACTCTCCTACAAGATCCAGAGTCAGTCCTGCCACATGCACAGAACAGATAAATTCCATTCTAATTTTCCAACAGAAATAGAAGCCCTTAAATGGACAGTCCTTCAGCTTCCTGATCTTCCCTAACCACCATCTGGAAATTTAAATACATCCACATAAATCCTTAACCTCTATCTTTTAGTTTAGAACAGGTGTTCCACCTTCCCTCGAAGTTCAGTCATTATCTGTATTCTGGGTTTTATGCCTTTTCTTTTCTTTTTTTTGCGGTACGCGGGCCTCTCACTGCTGTGGCCTCTCCCGTTGAGGAGCACAGGCTCCGGACGCGCAGGCTCAGCGGCCATGGCTCACGTGACCAGCCACTCCGCAGCATGTGGGATCTTCCCGGACCGGGGCACGAAGTCGTGTCCCCGGCACTGGCAGGCAGACTCTCAACCACTGCGCCACGAGGGAAACCCTATGCCTTTTCTGATTCAGGGATTTGGTCACTTTTTCTCCTGAATTTTCAAGGTGCTAGTAGAGGTAAATCCCATAACAATAGCAAGAAGAATGAAACAGGCTTATAAAAAATTTGGTACAGATCAGAGGTGGAGAGCAGAGGAAACAGAGATGATTCAAAGAAAATAAGAATGAGAATTCTTATTCTCATTCTTAAAAATAAGAATGATAAATTATCTGATAAATTATGGACCATTGTCCATAATCTGAATTGAAATTATGAAACCAAACTGTTGAAGTGGGTGGAAAGACTTACCATAGCTTTAAAAATAAGTAAGCAAATTTATTTACCAGGTAATTAATAAAATCCTAGAAAAACAGAAAGCCAAACAAAAGGAAATATTACCATTGAAAACGACTACTTGGATCATTTGTGGAATTATTTACATAGTCATAATAATGGTAACACCGAATGTGATTTTGAGATGATTATAGTGGAAGGATGGGTGTTAAGAGAAAGGAAGGGAAAGAAGAGAGTTAAAATCATCATATAATATAACAGCAAGACATAGGATAAGTTTAAGTAAGAGAAAATACCAGAAGTAATGGCTAAAAGGGTCGAAATTAAGAATTTCAGGGACTCTCCACACCTCCCCTTCCGGGAGCCTGTGCAGCCCGCCACTGCCAGGGTCCCGGGATCCAGGGACAACTTCCCCGGGAGAACGCACCGCACACATTAGGCTGGTGCAACGTCACGCTGGCCTCTGCCACCGCAGGCTCACCCCGCATACCCTCCCTCCCCCCAGCCTGAGTGAGCCAGAGCCCCCGAAGCAGCTGCTCCTTTAACCCCGTCCTGTCTGAGCAAAGACCAGACCCCTCAGGAGACCTACACGCAGAGGCGGGGCCAAATCCAAAGCTGAACCACGGGAGCTGTGCTAACAAAGAAGAGAAAGGGAAATTTCTCCCAGCAGCCTCAGGAGCAGCGGATTAAACTTCCACAATCAACTTGATGTACCCTGCATCTGTGGAATACCTGAATAGACAACAAATAATCCCAAATTGAGGAGGTGGACTTCGGGAGCAACTATATATATATATATATATATTTTTTTTTTTTTTTCCCCTTCCCTTTTTCTTTTTGTGAGGGTGTATGTGTATGCTTCTGTGTGAGATTTTGCCTGTATAGCTTTGCTTTCACCATTTGTCCTGGGATTCTGTCTGTCCGTTCTTTTTTTTTTTTTTACTTTAAAAATTTTTTTCATAATAATTATTTTTTATTTTAATGACTTTATTTTATTTTATTCCCTTTCATCCTCCCTCCCTCCCTCCCTCCCTCCCTCCCTCTCTCTCTCTCTCTCTATCTCTCTCTCTCTTTCTTTCTTTCTATTTTTTTCTCCCTTTTATTCTGAGCCATGTGGATGAAAGGCTCTTGGTGCTCCAGCCAGGAGTCAGTGCTATGCCTCTGAGGTGGGAGAGCCAACTTCAGCACGCTGGTCACAAGAGACCTCCCAGCTCCACGTAATATCAAATGGCGAAAGTCTCCCAGAGATCTTCATCTCAACACCAAGACCCAGCTTCACTCAACGACCAGCAAGCTACAGTGCTGGACACCCTATGCCAAACAACTAGCAAGACAGGAACACAGCCCCATCCATTAGCAGAGATGCTGCCTAAAATCATAATAAGGCCACAGACACCCCCAAACACACCACCAGACATGGACTTGCCCACCAGAAAGACAAGATCCAGCCTCATCCACCAGAACACATGCACTAGTCCCCTCCACCAGGAAGCCTACACAAGACACTGAACCAACTTTAGCCACTGGGGACAGACACCAAAAGCAACGGGAACCACGAACCTGCAACCTGCAGAAAGGAGACCCCAAACACAGTAAGATAGGCAAAATGAGAAGACAGAGAAACACACAGCAGATGAAGGAGCAAGGTAAACACCCACCAGACCTAACAAATGAAGAGGAAATAGGCAGTCTACCTGAAAAAGAATTCAGAATAATGATAGTAAAGATGATCCAAAATCTTGGAAATAGAAGAGAGAAAATGCAAGAAACATTTAACAAGGACCTAGAAGAACTAAAGAGGCAACAAGCAATGATGAACAACACAATAAATGAAATTAAAAATTCTCTAGAAGGGATGAATAGCAGAATAACTGAGGCAGAAGAACGGATAAGTGACCTGGAAGATAAAATAGTGGAAATAACTGCTGCAGAGCAGAATAAAGAAATAGAATGAAAAGAACTGAGGACAGTCTCAGAGACCTCTGGGACAACATTAAACGCACCAATATTCAAATTATAGGGGTCCCAGAAGAAGAAGAGAAAAAGAAAGGGACTGAGAAAATATTTGAAGAGATTATAGTTGAAAACTTCCCTAATATGGGAAAGGAAATAGTTAATCAAGTCCAGGAAGCACAGAGAGTCCCATACAGGATAAATCCAAGGAGAAACACGCCAAGACACATATTAATCAAACTATCAAAAATTAAATGCAAAGAAAACATATTAAATCAGCAAGGGAAAAACAACAAATAACACACAAGGGAATTCCCATAAGGTTAACAGCTGATCTTTCAGCAGAAACTCTGCAAGCCAGAAGGGAGTGGCAGGACATATTTAAAGTGATGAAGGAGAAGAACCTACAGCCAAGATTACTCTACCCAGAAAGGATCTCATTCAGATTTGATGGAGAAATTAAAACCTTTACAGACAAGCAAAAGCTGAGAGAGTTCAGCATCACCAAACCAGCTTTACAACAAATGTTAAAGGAACTTCTCTATGCAAGAAACACAAGAGAAAGAAAAGACCTACAATAACAAACCCAAAACAATTAAGAAAATGAGAATAGGAATTTACATATTGATAATTACCTTAAATACAAATGGATTAAATGCTCCCACCAAAAGACACAGACTGGCTGAATGGATACAAAAACAAGACCCGTATATATGCTGTCTACAAGAGACCCACTTCAGACCTAGGAACACATACAGACTGAAAGTGAGGGGATGGAGAAAGATATTCCATGCAAATGGAAATCAAAAGAAAGCTGGAGTAGCAATTCTCATATCAGACAAAATAGACTTTAAAATAGAGACTGTTACAAGAGACAAAGAAGGACACTACATAATGACCAAGGGATTGATCCAAGAAGATATAACAATTGTAAATATTTATGCACCCAACATAGGAGCACCTCAATACATAAGGCAAATACTAACAGTCATAAAAGGGGAAATCGACAGTAACACAGTCATAGTAGGGGAATTTAACACCCCACTTTCACCAATGGACAGATCGTCCAAAATGAAAATAAATAAGGAAACACAAGCTTTAAATGATACATTAAACAAGATGGACTTAATTGACATTTATAGGACATTCCATTCAAAAACAAGAGAATACACATTTTTCTCAAGTGCTCATGGAACATTATCCAGGATAGATAATATCTTGGGTCACAAATCAAGCCTTGGTAAATTTAAGAAAATTGAAATCGTATCAAGTATCTTTTCTGACCACAACGCTATGAGACTAGATATCAATTACAGGAAAAGATCTGTAAAAAATACA